CCTGCCCGGGGCGGGACGCGCAGCCGAGCTCGGGGCCGAGGAAGTGCGCTGACGCCGCTTCCTCCGCCCCGGCGCCCCCTGGCAGCCCCCGCCGCTGCGGCGGGGGCGCAACTAATTTCCCCCGCAGTCTCCAGGCCGGTAGGTCCCGGCGGTCTTTGCCCAGCCTCGCGCGAACCGCCCGAGCCATGCTGTGCCCCACCCCACGAAGGCCCCTGAGCGCACACTGCCACACCCCGGGGGCGGCTCTCCCGTGCGGCGCCACACAAACGCGCGCTCACTGCTGCACCGGGGAGCCGAGATCCCCAACCGCAGCGGTCCCGCCAGCGGGGGACCTGGGAAGTGGGGCCCCCACTAACAAATCGGCTCGCCCCTGGTGTTGAAAAGCACGGCGCACTGCCGGGAGAAGGGCCGGGAAGAGGCCCGCAGGGATGTTACCGTAAGAGATTCATCGACTTCATTCCTCCTCCCTGACAGACCTCATTTTGGTCTGTTGATTCCTGGCACTGTCCCTCTACCCCGCCCTGCGTCGGGGACAGCTCTAACCGCATCTCCGCCAGTGTTGCTACTGTCCTAAACGTTTAGATATCCACTACTGGATACTCTGCATCAGAGTATCAGCCGGCGAAGAAAGTAGGTTATCTCGCAGGATTGTTTCGCTTCCTTAAGTGAAGGTGTTGGGGTTCTGAGCAGGTTTGAAACAGAGTCGCAACCAGGAACGAGTCCAGGGCCTGTCTTGGACCCCAGTCCCGCACACAGACACGGGTGGAAACGTCACGGGAGGCCTGGGGCAGTTTTCTGCCTCCATCTTTGCTTCACCCCGAGAGGTCAGGGTACTCTCCTATGTCCCCCAAAACGTGGGCCTGTGACACCAGGAGGCATTCACTTTTTAGCCAGTGTTTAGAGTTGTACAACAAAGGTGATTACTAGTAGGTAAAGCAAACAAAATTACAGCTGAGCAAATCCGAAGGCTCAGTACAATTGAAGAGAGCTGATGAGCCTGTGAAATGCACTGATTGTTCTTTTTTTTTTTTTTTTTTGTCTTTTTGAGACAAGGTCTCACTCTGCAGTTCAAGCTGGTCTTGGACTCAATTTATAGCCCAGGCTGGTCTCGAACTCACGATGATCCTCCAGCTTCAGCCTCCCAAGTGCTGGAATTACAAGCGTGGGCCACCACACTGTGCGCACTGATTGTTCTTGCAGCTTTTTTTCCTCCAAGAGAATTTTTCTGCAGTAAGAGCCTTTTTTTTTTTGGAACCGGGAGCGGAACTCAAGACCTCGCACTTGCCGGCCAGGCACCGTGCCGCTGAGCTATGTCCCCAGCCTTGCAGTAAGCGCCTCACAAGGTCATCACCTAATCTTTCTCAGAGCAGCAAGGTTCCCTTTCTAACCTTTGTCAAAGGCCATGTGACCGTGTATTTAAACAGGAGGTGGGCCTTAACTGTGGGAGGGGTTCCTCTTCCTGAGAGCCACTAGTACCAATAGTGCTTTTCCGCCTTTGGTGCCTCCCTCCCCATTAAAACGACCGGTGCTTTGCAAATTCTTTCCACTTTCTCCTGTGAGGTAATGGTCTGCTTCAGTTTGGGCAGTAACAGCGATGTTTGGGTAATTCTGGACAGAAAAGTTCTAGAGTGAGCTTTCTACTTTGGAAACATAACAAAAGCCTGTCCGTTCCTTCACAAAGGACATGCAGAATGGCTTTGCTTTAGGGAACTTCTCAGCTACCTTCCTTCCATGTAACATTCCCACCAGGCAAAACTTCGACCTGAGTTTTTTATAAAAGCCGGCAACCAGTGAGACCTCAGATCCTGAAGTGTTTCCCCCAGAAGGCTCTGCTCTCTGCTAATCCAATCAAAGTTCCATCAGACACCAGCTGACCTTGACAGCCACAGATACAGGCAACAGGCAAAATGGTTTAAAAGTAGATATGCAAGATTAAGGAGATATTTTGTCCCCAGTCACTAACAAAATAATTAGATATTTTATGTTGTGTACATACTGAACTGACAATGTTTTTATAAAACTTCTACTTTGCGTTTATAGCATTGCTTTTGCAAGAAGCTCCCAGTGCGTGTGTTGGCATCACATTACTAAGCATGATACGTGTGTGGAGTAAGAAAGGGTAGGAGCTGTTAGCCTTACCGTAACAAGAAGAAGTGGAGGGGCTGGGGATTTAGCTCAGCGACACAGTGCCTGCCTGGCAAGTGCAAGGTCATGAGTTCAATTCCCGGTACTGGAAAAAAAACAGACCTAAAAACAAGAAGAAGTGGAAATGTAACTTAGATACAATCATTTGCCTGGAACATCATTTACTGGCTTATACTGGTCTATTAAAATAAAACCTACATGTGAAAACATTCAATAAATAGAATTGTTTAAAAGCTCTAATCATTATTGTTTTCTTTTTACATCTAATGGAAGGACTGGAGGGTCGTAAATTTCTTCACTGTGTTGGCAAAGAAAAGGTACTTAGAAGAGAAACAGTGGTTAACATCGCGAGCTTGGAAGCTAGCTTGTCCTGTGTCTGAGACCCAGTGAGACCCAGCTCTTTAAGCCTCTGCTAAGTAACCTAACCTTGCAGTGCTTTTGGATCCTTATCCATAACATAGACATAACTACCCACTTTCTCTAGTTATTGCTAGAGCTAAGTGAACCGACACACCCTATACACTTAGCATGGTGCATACCACAGGAGAAGGGCTTGAGAATTGTGGGTAAAAGGCCAGAAGACTGAATGGAAAGAATTCAGGGAAACTCGGATATCTGTATATTTTTCAAGCCTAAAGTCAATCCTGTACGTTCCTTGACATTCTATCATCAGAGAGCCGCCCATCCTGGCCAGACTTTTAAAGTTGTGAGGCTTTGTATCTGATCTCCCACTCTCTGATGTAAAGACTTCCAGAGGGTAAGTATGTAGGGATGAGTGATAAAGTGACCAACCAGGAACTTTTTATGTTCTTAATAAAACAGTGAAAATTCCTAAATTACAACAACATCTGATGTGTGTGTTAATTTTGTTTTTGTTTTGATATAAGGTCACTCTGTGGAGTTCAGGCTGGCCTTGAGCTCACTATGGAAACCAGACTGGCCTCAATCTCATGGTAATCCTCCTGCCTCTGTCTACCAAGTGCTGAGATTATAGGCGTGCACCACCCTACCCAGCTGTGTTGTGAATTTAACACTTCTTCCTAAACTAAACTTCTATTTAGGAAAGACATATATAATTGGATCATAGTAATTTAATGACGAATAATAGTATGGATATGGACACATGAGACTTTTTCTTATTCTTCAACAGAAGTTTGCAGCTAAAAGTCTTATGATGGATGGCACTGATTGCGCCCCTTCCCCCATAAAACGTCCCTCAAATTTTATTTCTTCTGTTCACTTTGCTCCTTTAAGAGAAGAGAGGGAGTGGGGAATCCCTGATCATCTGGAAAATCAGAAGACTTGAACTCCAGACTGATGGGGGAAGTTTAGAGAAATAAACATTTTTCATTCTGCCCAATTCTGTCTGGACTGTGTAATAGGACACGATTTTGGAGGGAAATCGCTCAGATTCAGGACTGGTGAAAGAGGCGTGTGAACTCACTCAGGATGGAGAACCGCGGCTTGACTCCGTGGACTTTGTCACACTGCAGTTAGTGGATGACAGCTGTGTGGAAGCGCTCAGAGTCCCCTCCAGGGGCAGAGCACTCTCCCCATAGCTCTTTAGTTGAAACCTTTCTCAAGGAGACTTATCTTGGCCCAGCTCCTTCAAGTAGGCTGGGAAGATGAAAATGGCCTTCTTGGCCGAGATGAGTGATGATTGCATTATTCCTGCTTGGTTCTGGCACGGTTTCAGGACTTTAATGATTTACCAAGGCAAAAAATCAATGCAGAAATTGACCAGTTTAATTCAGCTCGTGTTTACCAAGTCTGTTTTCACTGTTGATGGGTGAGCTAGGGAGCTGCGCTGGCCTGTGGGTATGGCCATCTCAAAAGCTTTGGAGACTGCTGGGCGGGGTGGCACCCGCCTGTAATTCCAGCACTTGGGAGGCTGAAGCAGGAGGATCCTTGTGAGTTTGGGCTACAAAGTGAGCTCAAGGCCAGCCTGAACTCCATAGCTTGAACCTGTCTCAAAAAAGGCAAAAAAGGGGCTGGG